CCACACATGGGGCCAGAGTCACCTTCTAAGAATAAAACTGATATCGAGTTAACTTGAAGTTGCAGCTATTTATTGTTTTCAGACTGTGAAGATATCATCATTTGTAAAAGGAAATTCTGCAAATAAGTTCAACTTTAATTTGATCATTTTGGATCGAAAAGCACTAAGCCACTTTGAAAGACAGTACTCACTCTCCTGACGCTCTAGTTCTCCCATAACCCTCTCCCGAACGAGACCTGGCCGGCACTTGCAAAACATCTCGTCTGATCTCTTTTTTAAAAATTATATATGTCAGGAAACGTACACTCCATAATAATGCTCCATTAATAGCAGTATAATAGCTACTTTGCAAAAAGCATGTTAAATGTCCCTTTTGTCAGAGGTTCTTTAAAGCCATAAGCAGTACCGTTACTTTTCCATGACAATGTTTACCAAATGATTCATGATAGTGGACTCCAAGCAGGTACTTCAAACAGCCAATTAAAATCAAACATGGTCTTGTGTTCAATTTGACTAGACTCGTAATTTATTGATTGGTTTATAAACTTCCGTCTCGTAACTACACAACCCGAGCGGATCGGAGAAATAACATCAGGAGCTAAGGTTGGTCTTGTTTAGAAAACAAACTAATTGAGTTGTTTATTAACTTGCTATAGCCTAGTATATTAGGGCGGATACAAAAAAAACCAATGCAACCCTCAGCAGGAAAAGATCAGCGATCATTTCGCGCGGGTGTAGCTTGCTTGCGAGAATTGACTCTGATCAAATTTTTAGAAAATTCAAGGCTGTAGGTTAAAAAAAAAATAATTGTAAGCCTTAAATTATATATCACTACTATGCTTTAACATTAAGGACATGAGGGTTTTTTTTCCCCTTCAGATCCGTCAACTGTAAAAATATAGCATTTAATCGTTTAATTTGACACTTGAGTTTTGATGTGTAAATCAACCTTCAATCGTCTCTGTACATCAATGAGAGCCATGCAGTGAACCGTATTCAGTCTTTCATCGTAACCATTTGTTTTTCCGTATCAAGTACTTGGAGAACTAAGTTTCAAATTATTTTTTCTTCGTTTAAACGTCGTTTAGCTGAGAAAATAATGATGCCATACAATGAAATCCATTAAACACCTGCTTCACTGCTAACTGGTGACTCGCTCTACTGAACTGCCAGTCATTATCACAAAAGTTTGAACCAAGAAGAGGGAAAGAAAAGTGAACGGTGTAATTAGTAAGGCGGGACTCATTTAGTAAGTGCTGATCACGTTAACTGTCGTTAAAGTGCCTGTCGAGGAACACTTAGATATCGCATGGCGACAAACTTAAAAGTCAGTAACCGTGACAAACACCTTTCTTAAGAGTTCTTAATTAATGCTCTGTAATTTAACAACAGATATCCTAGATCAACTCTTGAAGAAATTTTATTTCATCTGAAAAAAACAAAGCAAAACAAAACAAAACAAGGAATACAATTCCAAAATACAAAATAAAAAACAAGAAATGCCATTATAATATTTGAAATACTTGTTTTAGACAACAATTAATTTTAAATGTGCTGTTGTTTTTCCAATACAGTTGTTAGATTGAAAACTTAAATATGAACTTAGTGAGTCGATATATCTTTTGAGAAAAACCTTTTTTTTGCGATCAAACCGTCAACATTCTATAGTGTCAACGACAGGCAATTTTCACACAATTTCAGGGTGGTTAAAATTATAGCTACTAAACGTCCTGCAGTGAGGGCGGGAATTGGGCTCTAATTGACTTATATTTCAAATCCGCTTAAAAGAGAGGCACTGTCAGTCATGAGACG